ACAGACAGCCTCTTCCCAATATGCGTTTTTGCAATTTGCATATATGCAAAAACGCATAAAAACGGGTGTCCCCATGGGGCCAACACAATATGCGTTTTTTGCATTTGCATATATGCAAAAACAGGCAAAAACCAATTTGGTGCCATGAGATGCCAGGTTATGAGTCTGTGCTAGTATAACATCCACTGCGTCTTACTCAGATTGTATCTGCTGATCGCTCTCAGCACACTGCGAAAGAACGGCTCGTGTGTTAATGTGAAGCCTCGTTCACTGGATAATCGTAGAAAATTTATAAAGCACTGCATTCCTTCAAGTCTTTCGCGACATCTGCAAATGAAATTTGGCAGAACTAAACTTGGATGTTTCTTTCATAGTCATCGACGTACCCCAAGCAGAGCTTCCCCATTCCATTTTCAGTCCGGAACTCGCTACACCGGTAAAAATTCAGTGGATTCTTACATTTCTCTAGTAACCACCTTCTCTTGGCACTTTTTAAGTAATCGAAAAATAGAAATTCAGAATTTCTGTCTCTCTTTTGCCTTTAGATTTTATGTAATAGAGCTGAGGACTAAGTAGGGCTGAATAAATGTGCAGTAGTAAATAGCAACGCACTTGTCTTCGCTCATCATCATCTCGATTGACTGTGCAATGTGCGCATCCAGAAGACAAAAAATGCGTTCTGTCACACGTCTGTGCACGGAGATGCCTTGAATAGCACTTACCTAAAAAAAAGGAAATACATACATTAACGCAAATACACCGCAGCATCGAATGCACACGCTATTTTAATGCACCGAAAAAGGCGTTGGGGCATATATACCTCTCGTGATCGGGAAGTAAATATGCGCCACAATCATGAAACCAGAAAGACTCTAAAATAATCTGCAGAACTCAGTTACGTGCGACTGCGAAAGCAGAATGCCGGCAAGCGAGCAATGAAGCAAGGGATGCTTGGTGGAGATTTCTTGGTGACCATCTAAGCAGTCTGATTCTCCGTCATATGAACGACATGCAAGTGTCATTATGACCAGTCAGAAATAAAATTCAACAATTTGAGCATATTGGCTGTCTGGTGGCAGTGTTGAAAAGAACCAGTCCAGAAATAAAATTCAACAATTTAAGCATATTGGTTATCTGCTGGCAATGTTGAAAAGAACTGACTTATTTAAGGCTAAAGAAAAAATATAAGAAAAAATGATGGAAAACATGAAAAAAATTACTAAAGTAGGTAAGAAATACTTCGGTCCATTAAGTCATATACATTTTTTACCTTTACCACAATTGGATCTCGTCAGTACAACGATTGTGGTAAAAGAGTTTTGTAAGGTACTTTAGTGAGATAGAGACTGAATAAATTGGTTAATGGGTTAAGAGAAACGAGAAATTACTCAGGTTACTAACAAATTTCCAGCATTATCCAGAAAAATCAGGTCTAATATCTCCTAAATGGGCGAATTTGCAAACGCATCACTTTCACACAAACTATCCAGATTCTTGTGATGGACTCTACCTGACGGTGTTTCGGCATTTTTTGCACACTCCGCTTTTTCGGAGCAGCATCCGCCGAGCGCACAAAATGCTTTAGTTCAGTAAATACCGATACGGTTTGATCTAAGGGAAAATGGACCGGCAAGGTTCTTCTCCTGTATCTTCTCTTCTCCTCAGTCGGAATGAAGAGAAAAAAGAGAAATCACAGTGGAGTGACTAATTCGCTTACTTGATCCAAAATTAATATCAGCGGTCGATTTAAGAAAACAGGTGTGGGCGCCGAATATTTGACGACTTCAATAGACGTGTCGCGCGGCGCTTTGAATTTGTCCTGCACAAAAATAGTTTTGAATTTTAGATGATAGAATTATCTTGTAAACTCAAAGTGAGACGCTCTGGCGACCGCCGAAAACTCCTGCACAACGATAAAATTGAGAAACGTATAAAATGTTTCATATTTCTGATTGGAACTCGAGTCCCACTCCTCTCGCATCAATTTTCGGCCAGCACTTTGTGATGATGGCAGCCGCTACTGTACTGATTTTGGCACATCCTTTTTCATCGCTACGAAGCTACGAAACATTTAGTCGCACTGCCAAAAGACAGACAAAATCACCTGACTGTCGCTTATTGCAAAATGCATAACCCCGATTGGCTTCCCGAAGTCGCAAGTCATTACGAAAAACGCAACAAAGGGACCTGAGAAGGGCGAAACAGTACTGCCAAGTTGTTCTGCCTATTCGTATATCTGCTGTTGTCAGCAATACGGTTCGTTTCAGCCCAGCATTTTCGCACATCCAAGTTTGGATCAAGCGTGAGCACACCCTTGACGCCACGGTAACGGACCTAAATAGTTGACATCGCAAATTTGCTGATAAGCATCGCTGATGGCGAAGCAAGTGCTTGTCTCAAAGGGAGCAAAAAATCTACGCCTTCAGATACCGCACATTAATCAATGAATAGGTAAGAGCTCGAGGCGACGGCCAGACCAAGCACTGCGTCAGCACTGGTACTCTCAATCTGAAGTCAAAGCAAGCACTCGGAAACACACAGCTCGCAGCAATCACACGCTGCTAATGTCTCTTCTTCTTTCCGAGGTTTGTTCAGAGGCAAGCTGAAGAGAGTTTGACTCTTCGACACAAAATAGTACCATAATGCCACTGAAAGAAGTTAGCAAATTATAAAATTTGTTTGCCTGTAAGCGGAATCATCTTACTGTCTGCAGCTTGAAGGTGGAGGAAAGTCAATAAAGGAAACACCAACGACAAATATCTAGGGGGAGCTGAATCTTCAAAGCTCGGAATGATGGAAATAAGAGATTCAAGTGAATGCTAGATGAAAGCTTCAAGCTCTTCCAGTGATGCCGCTCAAAATTCAGCGCAGCTTTTAGCTCTGAATTTACTCGTACTGAACCGTGTTTCAGAGGGAATTCTCTGAAGACAAGCACATTCAAAATGCATGCAAGAGCACCTGGAAACAGCTTGGGATGAAGTTTTCGACTCCCAGATCTAATGCAATTGTCCGAGCGAAGTCTATCGAAATGGTGCCGACGCCGTCAGAAAACACATAAGCAGATCCATTGGTATCGCAGCCTCCAATAACATCATATGTCTTGTTATAATTAGCTCGCTTCAGTTTCACTGCGCATTGCTAAAACAAGAAAAAAGAAGTCGGCAGCCACCTGTATGACTGAGCCATGAGCGGGGCACAGTTCGAGAGAGTGAGTAGAGCTGGAAAGCATACTCTGGCTTGCGTGAAGCACTGACCCATCCGCGACATCATCTTGGGTATGCTGCACTGAGTGAATCTGCCGAGGCTTTCACGGATTCTCTGCACCTGCCCACCTTCTCCATCGTCATAAAAATAACAGCCGCCATCTCGCATCTGGGAATTTGATGAGCCGAGATACACAAAATGTCGGCCTGGAAAAGTCGTTAAGTTTCTCAAACGAAATATGCTGATAAGCTAAGCAATCGTGCATGAGTGCGTGTGTTTGCGTGTGTGGGTGTGTGTGTACGCATGAGCTTCGAAATCATAGGATTTCTTGATGCTAGCTAGTCGATGTGCAATTCTTCAAAGCATATAGTGCACAAACCAATTTGCAATTTCTGTAGTAAAAATGAAGGCATCTGGACGTTATCCGAGTGAA